TCTCAGGAACTTGTGAGACTTGGAAGGACTGCTGCTGTGTTCATGGAAAGAATGTGTGCTCAGCCGCTCCGGCTCGTTTGTGTGGGAAGGCCTGAGCCCAGGCTCTTCGGGCCTTGTCCACCTCCCTGCCAGACAGGGCTTTGGGAAGAGCTCTGTGGGAGAGCAGAACTTTGGAAACCTAATTTGACTCAAGGAGCAATCTTTCTAATCCACTCTTTTACTAGTAATAAAATGAAGCAAAAGTATCTTATTTTGTGTGAAGAAATATAAAGGGACCAGACTCAAAACTGGCCATTTTAAATTAGAAAATTTAGATTACTTGGGCTTATAGTAACAGAGTCAATAAGTCTGATCTAAAATATTCTTTGTTCAGTTGGGAGTAATTTTTTTGTATTAAAACTTACAGAAGGACTTAAACTAAACTACTGAACATTTCGATTTTGAAATTACCTACCTTTGCTGGAACAAATCAGATTGTTGTAGGCTTGGGATGAAGACACTGTATCTGGGAAAAATGGTTGTGATTGCCAGGTTAAAGAACAGAAGAGCTGTCTGTTTATTCTGTAAATGAATGGTCTCTTTTTAGATGACTTGCTTCCTGCTCTTTCTAGATACTCACAGTTCGAATGGTTTGAAATGCTGCTTTGCAGTGGGTGGAGGTGTGTTGATGTGGGTTTCTGAACCTTGCCTGGTTCTGCTTTCTGCTGTGCAAGTAGGCATTCTCCCTGCTCCCTGCTCCTAGTGGTGTACTTACTGCACATTGTCTTCTACAGTCAAGGTGGCTCCACGCTAGAGATTGCATTCTCGGGGCCTCCCAGAGTTATGTATCATTTGACATTATTCCAAATGAAGACAAACTTTGGATGCTCTCTTCACCAAGAAAGAATGTCATGAGAAAAATCAACTTCTAAACCAAGAGAGGAATTGGGCCATTAACTGAATGGCAATAGCTGGGTGATCATCACCATTTTTCCCACCATCAAGGGGAAGTTAAATAGTTTCCATAACATGGAATGTGAACAAGGTTCCTACCCTAATACAGACTTAAATATCCAGTTGTTAGCCCCAGGCTATTTGTAGTGAATAAGCCAAGTATTTAAAAATGCCCAGGCAGTCTTGGAAAAATTGCAGGGCTTGTTGAAAGAATAGTTCTTAAATAAATAAATCTGATTTAGAACTATCTAAACATAGACAAAGTACATTAAAATCTGATATGTAACTGCATGTGGCTTTTATAAGTGGTTTATTAAAAAACAATATTAATGTGACATGGATTTATAGATCTTAGTTTATTATAGCTCTATTAAAAACTGTCTGTGGGGCATGATGGTTAAGGCACTAGACTCCCACATGACTGACTGTGGTTTGAGTCCCAGACCTGGTGACTTGCTTTCTCCCTGGTCAAATTAAAAAAATAATAATAATAAAATATTTGTTAAAAACATGTCTCCTAAAGACATCCTAGGAAGGGTAGCTGGAAGGGCCTGCTTTACTGTCTTAGGTCTCAGCAGAGATATGCTTACAGTAGAACAACTTAGTCTAAAGAAGAACACTAAACTTTCTTGGCTTGAAATATTTTCTGGGAATCAGCAGATGGAGTAATGGTTATGTTGCTGGACTCCCACATAGCTGACTGCAGTTCGAGTCCCAGACCTGGTAGCTTAAACTCATGCCAAGCACATGTGCGTGTGTGCCCAGAATCCTGAGAGGAGAATGGAGGAGAAGGGATTATGGCACGGCCACCCCTCCTGGGCAGTGATTTCTTGCTTTCTGTCTCTCTAGCAAGCGCACATGCCCTGTAGCAAAAATCTCTAGACAAAATTTTTTTTTCTGTGACTGACTGTGGTTTGAGTCCCAGACCTGGTGACTTGCTTTCTCCCTGGTCAAATTAAAAAAATAATAATAATAAAATATTTGTTAAAAACATGTCTCCTAAAGACATCCTAGGAAGGGTAGCTGGAAGGGCCTGCTTTACTGTCTTAGGTCTCAGCAGAGATATGCTTACAGTAGAACAACTTAGTCTAAAGAAGAACACTAAACTTTCTTGGCTTGAAATATTTTCTGGGAATCAGCAGATGGAGTAATGGTTATGTTGCTGGACTCCCACATAGCTGACTGCAGTTCGAGTCCCAGACCTGGTAGCTTAAACTCATGCCAAGCACATGTGCGTGTGTGCCCAGAATCCTGAGAGGAGAATGGAGGAGAAGGGATTATGGCACGGCCACCCCCCCTGGGCAGTGATTTCTTGCTTTCTGTCTCTCTAGCAAGCGCACATGCCCTGTAGCAAAAATCTCTAGACAAAATTTTTTTTTCTGAAATACACAATTAGAGCTTTAACTGACCATCTTCTCAGAGCTGGGTCCCAGTCTACTGTGTGTCTGACCAGCTGTTGGTTGTATCAGAGTCTGTGTCACTCAGGACCTGCTCTAAGGTTAGGAGTGCAGTCTAGCATCCATGAAGGAGGTGCCTGGTGTTCTACAAGGCCTATAAATAAGGAGCTTTTTCAAAATACCTAGGAACGAATGCTCAAAAGAGAAGGCAGATTTGTCTTCTCACAATCTAAAACTCCTTAGGTTTTTGTGTTTTAAGAGGTTTTCACCTTAGGGTGCATGTGCTAGCAGCCAGAGAGACAGACAGACAGACACAGCAAGAGGGAAAGTAAGAAATCACCTTCTCTTCCCAGGATCTTGGGCACTCACACACATGTGCCTGGCATGATTTTAAAGCCACCAGGTCCAAGAATCAAATCATGGTAGGCCAGGTAAGAGCCAGCGATGTAACTGCTATGCCATCTGCTGGTCCCAATACCTCAGATATAACTCCTTCTATAGGGTGTGTATGCTGGTCAGAGACAGAGAAGAAAAATGAGAAATCACCCCCAAGGGGATGGCCACACCACAACCCCTCCTCTCATTCACCTCTCCAGATTTTGGGCACATGTGCATACATGCCCACCATGATTTTCAAGCCACCAGGTTGAACTGTGCAGTCAGCCACCTGAGATCCAGCACCTTATCCTCTGTGCCACCTGCTGGCCATAAAAGTATACTTTTTAAGTCTGGCTTCCTTAACAACTGTCAACAAAGAGGAAACAGTTCATACTTTAAAAAGCCCAATTAGAAGCCAGCCCATGGTGTGGTGGTTAGGGCAGCTGGATCCCACGTGGCCAACTGTGTGGTTTGCATCCCAGACCCAGTGGCTTGAAAAACATGCTAGGCATGTATGTATGTGTGCCCAAAATCCCAAGAAGAGGTTAGAGGAGAAGGGATTGTGGTGTAGCTATCCCCTCCCCTGAGAGTTAATTTCCCACTTTCCCCCTTTCTCTCTCTCTGTCAGCAAGCACATAAGCCCTGTACAAATTAAAAGCCCAAGTGCAGTTGTCCTGAGTGCCTGCTTCTGGACCACCAACTGTTACAATTCAAAACATAAAGAGAAGCACCATTTTGATCTGGTTTGAGAGTCTTTAAGGAACTCTAGCTCTTCAATAATATGTTTTCAGGGTCCTGGAGAAAGTTGTAGCCATCAGTGGAATTCTTACTTCAGTTATATGCTTTTTCACTTGCCAATCTTTGGACCCAGAGTCACCTGACTGCCACAGTTATCTGGCTGATAAGAAATTCGTATATGGACATAATACAAAGGTGGTAAATTAACATGTTGGTCACTGCTCTAAAAATGAAAACGGGCAAATGTACTATCACAATAAGGTAGCTTTGTAGTTGTACTACACCACAAATTATTGGGTTTGGGGCAGCCGGGTGGCACGGAGGTTAAGGTATCAGATCCCATGTGGCCAAATGCATAGTCTGAGTCCAGACTCAGTGGCTTGAAAAGAAGGCCAGGCAGAAGCCCAAAGTCCCGAGGAGAGGAGGAGGAGGAGGAAAAGGAATCGCAATGTGGCCTCCCCTGGGTGGGGGGTGATTTCTCACTCTTCTCCCCTTGCTCTTTCTCTGGTAAGCATGCACACTCTATAACAAGAACACACACACACACACAGAAAAATTATTTGGGTTTGAGAAAAAGACTGTCAAACTGGGCAACATCTCTGTCGTGAATGAGAATTAGCAAAGGGGTGACCACAAACAAGTCCTCTCACATTCTAAAATAGGGACAGCATCCGATTACAATCATATTTCTAACCTGATTCATCTAAAGTAGCATACATCGATACTGCTTCCAATGTGCGTTTCTTGGCATGACTTAATTTAGAGCCACATCTGTGGAAAGTAATGAGGCATATTTAGTATTTGGTGCTAAGTTACTAATACAATGATTTAAAACAAACAAACCCCACCTTATGGTCCTGTACCCAAATACTTTTCTATGAAAAAATTGAGACCTATGAAACACTATAAATACAATTACATTAGATTATATGTTAATTTTTTAATTGCCAGAGGGCATGTGTGCTCACCAGAGGTACACAATGGGCTCCTTCACCTATTAGGGAATGGAGTTGCCCAACTACATTAATTGTTTTATTATATTTTTTAATTTGCAAGAGGACAAGTGTGCTGGTCTGAGAACGAGATAAAGTGAGAAAGCACCTCTCATGGTGCATAATCAGGCTGCAGTCCCATCTACATTGCTCCCTGTTTTGAGCATGTATGCACACATATCTAGCATGTTTCTCAAGCCACTAGGTCCGGGGCTTGAACCGTGTAGTCGGCTATATGGGATCCAGACACTTTAACCACCATACCACCAGCTGAACCTGTGTAGCATGTTTAAAAACTTTAAGGGAATGTCTGGGGCCAGCAGGTGGTGTGGTGGTTAAGGGCACTGGACTCCCACATGGCCAACCATGGTTCAAGTCCTGGACCTGGTGGCTTGCTTTCTCCCACCCCCCGACTCCAGTCAAATTAAAATAAATAAAGATAAATTAGGAAAAAAATAATAAGAACTTTAGAAGGTCAAACTGATGTCTGTAAATCATATGTAAACCTACCTGAAAGCCAGTAGCTATGATAGTTGTGCTACAGAAGGGGTCAAAGTCGATATTAGAAATATTACACTTTATTGAATTCTAGAGCAGCTAATCTACCCTCCCCTGCTGACAATAAGGATGGAAGAAAACATGAAAGTTTAAAATAAGACCATACGCCACTGTTAAAAATGTTGGAACAACTTTTGCTGTACTGATGAGGCGGTTGTAATATCCTGAAGCGTGGAGTAATGATTCATTCTTGTTCAAACAAGAAGTGATTTCACTTGGGATTCTGAAGTGAATTTATTCACACTGATTGTGCCCTCTGCCTTACAGAGCCCCCCGTCTTAGCCTCTCATGCTCCATGTTAAAATATAGCAGTCAACCTAGAGGACAGAGAAATCTGGAATTGGGTAGTGTGAGCTGCAACTGTAGAGCCCACACTAATGAAAGTTACTCATCTCTCTCTCTGGGGATTGCTTGTGTCCTCTTTCAGTTAAATTCTTTCTATAGATTTATCACAGATGAGCGAAAGAGTGGTTCCTCTGACAACAAAATAACCAGTTGTGCTATCAACCAAAAATGTAAAAAGGATGAGGACTTTCGCCTCAAAAAAGAATCCAGACCAGATCAGCCTGGAAGCAAGCAGAGAATACTTCAAAGCCACTGACAGAATAGCAGCTCTGCAGAATCACTGAGGATACCTGAACAGTTATAAAAGGATACCTGACCTTTAACAGAAGACTACATTTTATAATGGAAACAATATATTTCTCCACTGATATACAACACTGTGTAATGCACTGAAAAATTTTGGAGTAACAGCACAATTTGTAACATTACAGCATTTTTGGATCACCTCTTCCCCGTCATTCTCCTTGTTCCTCTGAGACCCTTCACCTCCCGTATCAAGGTGTACTATGAGATACTGATGATGACAAAAGACAAGGAAATTGTGTCACAAGCTACAATGGAGCCATCTGCATGCAGTTCAGCCTGACTTTACCCTTACTTTCTTCCAATACAGACTCCATTACAATTTTGAACCATCTGTACAGTACAAATGCACAGAACTAAAACAAGTATCTCTGTATGACTAGAATATTTTAAAGTCTTCAGAAACTTTCCAGACGTACCTTTGATGGATCCATTCCCCCTCCCCCTAGCAGAACCCAAACAGGGACATCTTTTGCTCCTGTGAGTCCTGTCAGAACTTGTTTAATGGGTGTTTAGGATTTCGGTTCTCCTTATTCCTCCTCCTCTTCCTCTTCATCATCATCTTCATCATGGCAGTGTGTAATTTCCTGGGGGGCCAGTGGGAAGAGGTTGGGAGGTTTGATCTCACTGATTGACCGTGTCAACTGGTGCCGCTTGTAGTCGGTGTCTTTAAAATCCACTGACGTGCGGTTCCGGGTGGCAAGAGGGGACTCCATCTCATTGATATCCACGTGGGTGTGCTCCACTGTTGATTCATGAGGCATCTAGAATGAAGCCAGAGGCTCAGAGCAGAGCAAAACAGCTGTTTCCCAAATGCTAACCCCTCTCCTGTGTAAGGTAGCCATACAAAATTACGTCTATAATGAACCAGAGGACAAGCCAATTCAGGTATCTCTTCCACTACCTGGAGCTACCATCCTCTGTCCTCCCCTCAAATTGCACACAGATCATTAATACAGCATGAAATTGCATAAGATGGAGATGAGAGAGTTATTTTCTATTTCAAAACAAAAATACAGAAGAGTCCCAACAGATTCATATCATACACAGGGAAATTTTAATTAATTAAAAAAATTTTTTTGCCAGAGGGTGTACACTTTCACCAGGGAGACCCAGGGGGTGAGGGAGAGTGAAAAGTACCCCTTTTGGGAATGGTCACATCACAATCCCTTTTCTTTATCTTCTCCCCTTTTGGGATTCTGGGGACAGGCACACATGTGCCTAGCACTGGTTTTTTTTTGTGGAGAGGTTTTTGCTGTAGGGCGCGTGTGCTCGCCAGAAAGACAGAGAGAGACAGAGAGACAGAAAGCGAGAAATCATCCCCTAGGGGGGATGGCCACGCCGCAATCCCTTCTGCTCCATTCTCCTCTCAGGATCTTGGGCACACACGCACACGTGCCCGGCGTGAGTTTAAGCCACCAGGTCCAGGACTTAAACCACGGTCAGCTACATGGGAGTTCAGCAACAAAGTCATTATGCCAATTGTTGGTCCCTGCCTGGCATATTTCTTAGGCCACCGGGTCCAGGACTGGAACCACATAGTTGGCTATGTAGGTTCCAGTCCCAACCACCACATCACTGGCTGACTCATGATTTTTAACAGACTTCAGGAAATAAAATTATACTCTTAACTGTCTATCTTGATCATACTTTGTCAAAGACCCCTTCTTGTGCAACCATAGAACCTGCCCATGGGCTTTACACATCAGAAAGAAATGCTCAAACTGTTTCCTGTGTCATCCCACAAACCTGGCTGCAGCTCTCAGCCTTAAGAGTACATTTTAACTGTCAGTAACAGCTAACGCTGTGGCAGTGACTCACCAGGACGTGGGCAGCTCTGAAGAGGTAGCTGAACGGATAATACAGCAGATTGATGAATGATGCTGCATAGAGATCGGCATATCGCATCACCTGACTGGCAAACAGGGTCTGTCGGGAGCCGCTGCGGAACAGGCTTCCCATCATCCCGTAGCACATGTCCATGTCATGAGTGACTTTCTAAAGCAAAGAATAAGATTTATTCTAGTTCGTTCAACAATACATACTGAGGACCAGCTATGTGCCAATCCCTGCAAAAATTTTTAAATTCAATGTATTTTCCAAGTTTTCTCTCAAATCCCACTTGGATACCTTAATACGTCTCTGGATGGAACTAATGTCTGGGCGCTCATTGCTACTGCTGTCAAGGTGCCTGGAGACGAAAGAAAAACCCAGTGAAAATCCCTAGAAAGAACATTTCTTATGTGACACCTGAAGAGGTCAGTGGTTTTTATGGAAGACATTTTCAGCATTAGCAAACTTACTTGTAAAGTTCAGCCAAGAAAATATCCAAGCTCTGAAGCTCTTCGAAAAGGGCTAAAATATGGAAAGAAAAAGGAAAATGTTTTAAGTAAATCAAAAGGCACCTAGATTTTAACTGCTGCTAAAACAAACTAAAAAGGTTGCAGACAAGAGATACAGCCTAGGACTAACATACTACAGGTGAGCATATAAAATGGCTTCCTCCATCCCCTTCAGGAGAACCCACGGATACCCTGCTTGCAATCTCTGAGCAAATGAACACTGTAATTTTCCTCCTCAACTCCTTTTCTCCTGTTTAGACATCACTGATAACAGTGCTTTCTTCTGGTCATATGCTCATTCTGAGCTTTCAAAGTGCCAAATCCTACTGTTGCAGGTGCAGTCAACAAAGCAAGGGTTAACAGTCCTATTTCCAGATGAAGGGCTGACAGGTGACTTGTCTAGAATCACAGATTTAGGAAATAGCAGGGCTCAGTTTCTAAAACGTCATTAGTGGAAAACTGAAAATGTATTATAGAAGTAGGTTAGCCAAAAAATTCCACAAATACAGACCAAAGCAACAACAACTAGCTAATGTCTACTACATACTTACTATGTGTTGCAACCTTTATCAGTCCAGGTACCCCAAGAGAATTAAGCCCTAAGGCATCCACTGTATAGAACGAATTTTCTTCTATCTACTTCTCTAAGAGAACTGAAAAAGTTGCTCAAGTCATATTCTGTGCTCTGTGGTTCAGATAAGGAGCTTGGTTAAGAAGACTTCAATCATCTAAATTCATACACGTATTACTACTTCAGCTCAATGTCATCAACTTTATGAGGCAGGTGCTATTATTACTGTCCCCATTTTCAAGGTTTTCTGTGAGGGGACAGAGACAGACTGATGGGTACCTGGAAGAGAATCCTTATGCCACAATCCCACTCACCCAGATGGGATCATGGGGCACGTGTGTGCACGTCCTATGTGCACAGGGAGACCTTGGGATTTGAGCTCAGGACCTTCCCATATGGCCTTACCATTGTGAAGCAGAGCATTACCACTATGTCACCACAGTAGCCCTATTCTCATTTTTACATCTGAAGAAACTAAGGAAGAAGGTGTCTCAGTAACTCCCCTAAGGGCGTGCAGATTCAATTGGTAGAGCCAGGGTTCCTACCCAAGGCAAACAGTCTCTGGAGTCTCTCAGTACTGTGGGTCATGCTCATTAAGGCTAGCTGGAAAACATGTCTCCAACACCTTTAAATAACTACCTATAGTTCATTTCCATAATGTGCATACACTCAGTTCAAAGAATACAATTTGGCTACATTATCTACTTCTTAGAAGAACAAATAAAAAGTACCAGGAGGTGGTTAACGTTCTAACCATTACTGCCCCAGAATCACAGATATGGGCTGTTAGCAAAGACAGGGATTACTAGGTGTGGTTGGAGAAACACAAGATTTCATGAAGTTCACAGGAAGGGGGTGAATGGTGATGCAGCCATAAAACACAAGGTTTTGTGAGGCTAACCCACAGGAAAGGTGACAGCACTGTATCGGAGACCTCTGAGTACACTGGCACACATGTTCCCGTGATCCAGGCTGGCTGGGGATGGATTGCAGCAATGAAGACCCCGTTGAGGGTGCTCTATCTGTCTGTCTCATATACGGAAATAATAAACTTTAAAAGGTTATGGAAAAGTCACCAGCAGATAGCATAATGGTTACATTGCTGGACTCACACATAGTTAACCACAGTTCAAGTCCTGGACCCAGTTGCTTAAACTCACACCAGGCACATGTGCATGCATGCCCAAAATCCTGAGAGGAGAATGGAGCAGAAGGGATTGTGGTGTGGCCATCCCCCCTGGGGAGTGATTTCTTGCTTTCTATCTGTCTCTCTCTGTCTCTCCAGGGAGCAAACACACCCTATAGCAAAAATTTCTCTTAAAGAAAAAGTTTATGGAAAAACCGAATTAAAGTGTGAGTTTATTTTGGTGCAAAGGAAAACTCAAATCCATGCATATTTCTTATAATTCTTCCAAAGTTCTTTTTCCATTAACTTTTTTTTTTTTTGAGAGAGAGATTTTTCACTATAGGGCACGTGCGCTCGCCAGAAAGACAGAGAGAGACAGAGAGACAGAAAGCGAGAAATCACCCCCCAGAGGGGATGGGCACGCCGCCATCCCTTCTCCTCCATTCTCCTCTCGGGATCTTGGGCACGCACGCACACGTGCCCGGCGTGGGTTTTAAGCCACCGGGTCCGGGATGCGAACCGCGGTCAACAACGTAGGAGTACAGCGACATAGCCATTATGCCAACTGCTGGTTCCCATCCATTAACTTTTTAAAGACCTCCTATATGGGACTACAGAGGAGAGTGGCACTCCAGTTCAATTTAACTGTTACTATATTGCAAGTCATGATACCAACTTCTACACCTAACCTTGAAGGGCTTCAGGAAAAGACTGAAGGCCCAGCCACGGATATATGAGCACTAAAACACAAAGCTGGGGACACCTGGCAGGCCTGAGTTCACTTTCAGACCAACCCAAACAGGCGCATGGCGTGGTAGTATATGTGACTATAACTCTATCTAACTGGGAGGACAGGGCAGGAGGATCTCAACCAGGTAGAGCTCTGTCAAAAATAACCTCTCTCTACATTTTTCATTAAAAAAAGGAAAAGAGAGAGTCAGCAGGTGGTGTAGTGGTTAAGGCAATGGACTCCCACACGGCTGACTGCAGTCGGATCAACGGATCTGGTGGCTTACTTTCTCACTTTCCTTCTTTCTCTCTCTATAGTGATAATAATAATAAATAAAACCTTTTTTTTTTTTTAAGGGGAAGAGGGAGAATGTTAAATAAGATAACTTCTAGTGTTTATTCAAATTCTGAAGTTCTGTGAAATATCTCAACATTCTTCAGGAAGAAGGGATCCAAATATCAGGGTCCACCTTTTACCATATCTGATCCCCTGCATAGAAAGTAATGGTTTATCAAAGACAACAGATTCAGAGCTAGACATTTAGATATAAACTATGTCAAAGATTTATAAATTAGAAGAATGGCTCCTTACCACTCTTGTCTGTCCAGACGTGCAACTCTTGTGCAAGTTCAGGAATCACCAAGAAAGTTCGCCACCCTTGCCGTTTCTTTGATTTTAAAATGTCCCCAAAAATGTGATCTCCAATATACAAAATATCTTTGCCCTTGGCTCCCAAGAGATCACAGATTGTATCAGATGAACCTGAGACAATGGAGTGAACAAGGAGAAAACAAAAACCAGGATTCTAAGTACCATAACCACTAAACACTGGGGCTAGTTTTATTCTTATATAATTAGGGACAGATGAGGAAAAGGGCTCTCTTTTCTTAATGGCAAACACTCATTTTCTCTCTTTTTTCCCACCATTTTTTTCTTACTGCTCTAAGACAAAGCGTTCAGCTTCATTATACTGACTGACTAGAGAGAACTTTTGATCACCAAATCCAAGAGCAACAAAACTATGTGCATCTGCTTTAGTGACCATAACCTTCAGGGTTGTCATCACCATTTTTCATCACAGATCTGCTATTTAGTTAGTTCTGTACAACTCTAAGGTCAACACAGGGGCTCCTTGAAAACGCCTTGAGGATACCTGAGAAACATTCCAGACACTGAGACAAAGTCTCAAATAGGTAATACAAAGGGAAAAATTGATCTTTTGAGTTAAAATGAGAGTCCTTAGGACATACTAGCAGCTTCTCACACCTGTTCTTGACTATCCTGTTGCATTAGTAGGTGACAAAATTACCTTCATTAGATGGTGTCATTAGGATATTTACGACTACATGGGGCACTTTGCTGAGAGAACACCAGAGCATTCACAGTGATGTCTAAAAAAGATCTACACGAAATACGGGAAATCTGTGACTCACCTCCTGAGTACACAATGCCGTGCTGTAGGGGGCCTGTGTAGGTACCAATTTTCAGCTTGCCAGTTTTCTGTGTAGAGAGAATACGGACTTTGTAATACCTTATCATCCTATCGCAATACAGTCTCCACCTACAATGCTACTTTGCCAGACAACCAAATGAATGGCATTTATTCTTTTTTTTTTTTTTAGAGAGAGACTTTTGCTAGAAGGCACATGTGCTCATCAGACACAATGATACAGAAAGCAAGAAATCATCCTCTAGGGAATGGCCACGCTGCAATTCCTTCTTCTCCATCCTTCTCTCAAGATTTTGGGCACACGTGCCTGGTGTGAGTTTTAAGCCACTGGGTCTGGGACTTGAACCACAGTCGACTATGTGGGAGTCCAGCAACCTATTACCCCATCTACTGGCCCCAGTACTTATTCTTTTGAATCAGTGGTACATTTGGGTATTCCAGTTAAGACCAAAACAATTTCAGAAGTGAGGGCTACTAAATTAAAAATACTCATTTCTTTAAGGAGTGTAGGAGCGAGGAAAGGAGACCTATGAAGGACAGTATCATGCTCTTGACTTACAGTATCCACTTGACGCAATACTGTGCCTTCTCCAAAAAAAAGGGGTTTCCGGGCATCCACCAAAATCAGGTCAAAGTAGGACTGCCATGGACGATGGGAGCTACCAGGCTGATGAAGGAGAAACAGCAAAAGCTGAAACATCATTCCTTACCTTAAGGCTGTAATATTTAATTACATTCAGATTCAAGAAATGTAGAAATACTAAAGATAGCCAGAAGAGTTCATTATTATACACACACACACACACACACGTGTGTGTGTGTATACATATATATGTATGTGTGTGTGTATATATATATAGTGTATTATACATATATAGTGTGTGTGTAATACACACATATAATATATATATACAATATATAAAGTATCCTGTCTAATTTTTTTGAGAGGTTTTTGTCATAGGGCGTGTGCTCTCGCCACAAAGAGAGAGAAGACAGAGAGACAGAAAGCGAGAAATCACCCTCCAGGGGGGATGGCCACACAGCAATCACTTCTCCTCCATTCTCCTCTGGGGATCTTGGGTACCCACATACACATGCCCAGCGTGAGTTTAAGCCACTGGGTCTGGGACTCGAACCACGGTCGACTACATGGGAGGCCAGCGACATAGCCATTATGCCAACCACTGTCCCAGTAGCATGTCTAATTATAAGCTGCATCCTTTTGGAGACTGGCACAGTATAAATAATATCTTATCTCTTCATTTTAAGTAATTTAAACTTGCTACTGAATTACAGAAACTTATTTCATAGCATTTACTACACGACAGTGTGCTCCCATTCTGGAATGTGCTAAAAGGGGCTCTGGAGAGGTGCAAGTCTATACTGAAGGCATAAAGACAGGCAGAACGAAACCTGAGAGCTAAAGCACACAGACAATGTGAAATTACGAGGACGTTTCTCAGGTTATATCCTCAGAATGATGGCTCTAGGTACACAGTGGTCTTTGGCACCTACTGCAAGCTAATCCCAACACTGATGTAAATGTCATGCCCATTAAAGTTATTTCCATCCTGAATGGAAACATGACATAACCTTTTAAGGGCAAACTAGGGGGCCATTGTGATTTTGGATGATCTCAAAACAGGGATTTGCTCATCTTTATTCACAGAGTTTAGCGCAAAAATTCTACAAGTACGTGACTAGGTTACAATGGGTAATCCTTAACAAGAGCAGCCATACTTCAGGAATAAAGACCTCTGATAACTACCAAGGTTAACTGCTCTGTTGACACAATACTCAGCAATAACCAACAGCAGAATCTGTATGCTGCCAAGAATATACACAAATTTTTTGTTTCTGTTCATCAAATATCCTCTTCTACCTAAAAAATTCATTAACATAAAAATTTAACAATTTTTACATAGAACTTCCTGAGCATAATATTATACTGATCCATCCTACTAAATACCACATTAATATTCTTTTTATTTTTATCTATTAACTATTCAAATGGCTAATAATTTTAAATTCTACTAGGCTCCTGGATAGCTTCTAATGCTGATGAATATTAGACAACAGACTGAAAAAGTAGGACTTTTCTGAGTGGGTCCTGACCAATTCTTTCCCCTCAATATTCCAAACTGATTAAATGCCTTCATTATTATTAAGTTACATGTAGTACCTTAGGGCCATGTGGGAAATCAAACAGGTAAGTCATAATTTTCTGGAAAAAAAAAATCCAACATAAGATTCATATACTACTTTTGAAATATATATATAATATCTTCAAACATCTTCATAAAACATGTCTTTTTTCTTTTCTTTTTTTTTTTTTTTTTTTTTTGTCCTCAGAATGATGGCTCTAGGTACACAGTGGTCTTTGGCACCTACTGCAAGCTAATCCCAACACTGATGTAAATGTCATGCCCATTAAAGTTATTTCCATCCTGAATGGAAACATGACATAACCTTTTAAGGGCAAACTAGGGGGCCATTGTGATTTTGGATGATCTCAAAACAGGGATTTGCTCATCTTTATTCACAGAGTTTAGCGCAAAAATTCTACAAGTACGTGACTAGGTTACAATGGGTAATCCTTAACAAGAGCAGCCATACTTCAGGAATAAAGACCTCTGATAACTACCAAGGTTAACTGCTCTGTTGACACAATACTCAGCAATAACCAACAGCAGAATCTGTATGCTGCCAAGAATATACACAAATTTTTTGTTTCTGTTCATCAAATATCCTCTTCTACCTAAAAAATTCATTAACATAAAAATTTAACAATTTTTACATAGAACTTCCTGAGCATAATATTATACTGATCCATCCTACTAAATACCACATTAATATTCTTTTTATTTTTATCTATTAACTATTCAAATGGCTAATAATTTTAAATTCTACTAGGCTCCTGGATAGCTTCTAATGCTGATGAATATTAGACAACAGACTGAAAAAGTAGGACTTTTCTGAGTGGGTCCTGACCAATTCTTTCCCCTCAATATTCCAAACTGATTAAATGCCTTCATTATTATTAAGTTACATGTAGTACCTTAGGGCCATGTGGGAAATCAAACAGGTAAGTCATAATTTTCTGGAAAAAAAAAATCCAACATAAGATTCATATACTACTTTTGAAATATATATATAATATCTTCAAACATCTTCATAAAACATGTCTTTTTTCTTTTTCTTTTTCTTTTTTTTTTTTTTTGCGCTAAAGGTTGTATGCACTCACCAAAGAAACACAGAGTAAGAGAGAAGAAAAATGAGAAAGTATCCCCATGGGGAAGGGCCATTTCCCTTCTCTTTTTCTGTTTTCAGAATTTGGGCATGCATCTGTGCCTGGCATGTTTTCAAGCCTTCAGGTCTAGGACTCCAACGTGCAGTGGGACTTGTAGGATCTGGCCATATCAAGCTGACCCAAAACATGTCTTTTTCAAAACAGGATTCATCAAATTCTTATATCTCCTGAAGTTTATGAAATTGTGGCAATTAAGAGCCAGCAATCAATACATCACATCCAAAAAACAAAAACCTTCTGTCCTTCTTAGGAAGGATATATACACTTCTTCTAGGAGATGTTTTTGTACAGATTCATCCATATATCCCTATCTAACTCCATGGCCTGCAACACACATTTGGAGGTAAGGAACATATGAACATATGAAGTATACCACAGAGAAAACTAATTATTCAGATGGAAATAACATATTATTCTGGCCTTGTTACTACTGTCCATAGACCAGTCAAGCCAGCCAACCACTGGCTTTGAGACTGTTTATTCAAATTACCAAATGTCTAAATCAAGTTCTTACATAAAAAGACCTGGGGGGAGCGAAACCTCTTGCTACTCTTACAGACTTTTAACTGTCTCGTTGAAACTACGATGAAGTTAGAGTTACATCAGTTTCCCACATGCTTTAATCGTGGGAAATTTCTTTTTAAGAGGTAAATTTTGATGGCTGAGATTCAAAGCATCTTTGCACCACCTACCACCGCAGAGCTTCCTGCAGTAAGAAAGCTGTGTACACAGAGCAATAAAAGATAAATGATGCTCCAAATATAGAAGCCATTTCAATTGGCATGAATGTTTTAAATAGCCCCCAAACTAAAACCTTCAAGTAGCTAACTGCGATTGGAGAAAATAGTTCAAGTGAATATTTAGAAAAATTCTGATCACCACTCTAGTGCCCTTACCCTATATAGTTTTGCTTTTATCTCTGCTTTCAAAATGAGATGGCAAGAAACTACCTTCGCTTAGTAAACTTTGTCTTCACAGTTTTTTGGACCAAAACAATTCCTCCACACCAATAAACAAATATAAATATTAAGCACTTACATCTGTGTATTTATAGTCACTGTTGGTGGCAAGAAAAAAATCCTTCATCCGGCTCAGAAGCAAAGGCAATTTCCCCTGAAATGTAATATGATTATAAGTGAAACACTAAAACACAACTATTTCTATATTTTCACTTTGGGGTAGTCATATACTATATTTTTGTCCACTGAACTAGGAATAGGGGAAGTCTTTTAAGAGTTAGTTGGGTGGTATCAGAATTTTGCATTTAAAAACCCACATAACTATGCATGAATAAAATACGTGTAATACACAGTGTATATACATGTAAAACCTATGTAAAATGAAACACATACATGTTTATATGGTCATTAATATATCTCTGCCTTTCTCTTGATATTTGCTTCATGAAGTGTTTAAATTACTTCATGATTTCTTGAAGTAGTGCTAGGTGTATTAGAGATTAGGAGAAGCTGATTTTAAATCATCAGCAAATACTCTATATGGAGATTATTAGATATAGCTTTATTGTGTATAGCCTGGTTTTATAAAACACCTTGTAGAGGGACCAGCAGTTAGTGTAATGGGTATGTCGCTGGACTCCCATGTAGTTGACTACGGATCGAGACCTGGATCCAGTGGCTTAAACTCAAGCCAGGTGCGTGTGCCCAAGATCCCAGGAGGAGAATGGACTAGAAGGGACTGCAGTGTGGCCTTACCCCCTGGGGGTGTGATTTCTCACTTTCTGTCTGTCTCTATCTTTCTGGTGAGTGCACGTGCCCTATAGCAAAAACCTCTCCAGAATAAAGAAAGAAAGAAAGAAGAAAGAGAGCAAGAAAGGAAGGAAGGAAGGAAGGAAGGAAGGAAGGAAGGAAGGAAGGAAGGAAAAACACGTTGTAGAGTCAAATGACATGTGCAGGTGCCAGCTAGAAGTGCCCATACCCATCTGCAGAAAATGCTGCAATTCTAACTCCTGACATGCCTGGAAAGAAAAGCACCTTTTCCTTCTCTCACAGTAATAGATTCCTTTGTTCACAGTGCCCTGGACCCTACCAATTCAGTGCTGCTTCTTTCTTTTTCTTTTCTTTTTTCTTTTTTCTTTTTTTTTTTTTTGAGAGGATTTTTTGATACAGGGCACATGCGCTCGCCAGAGAGAGATAGAAAGAGACAGAAAGCAAGAAATCAGCCCCTGGGGGATGGCCACAGCACAATCCCTTCTCCTCTAGGGATTTTGGGCACACACGCACATGTACCCAGCGATGCCCAACATGAGTTTTAAGCCACCAGGTCCAGGACTTGAACTGCAGTAGACTACGTGGGAGTCCAGTGACATAACCATTATGCCATCTGCTGATCCCTGTGCTATTTCTTGAAACAATAAGGTGGTGGGTGGAAATAGGCACAAAGACCAAAACAAGAAATTTTTACCCCAGTACTTTATATATTCTGCTACTTTTTTACTCTGTAAAAAAAAGAAGTATCTCATCTTGGGATTCTGTGTGTGTTTCTCCTGAAACAATTTTAGACTTTACTTTTAGAAAAGTTGTGAAAGTTGTACAAAGTTCTCCATCCAACTTCCTTTAATATTAACTTTGTACACTACCACAGTACAATGACCAAAACCAAAAATTTAACACTGGTATAATACTATTACTAAACTACAAATTTTAACATTTTATCAGATTTTCCACTAATGACTTAAGTTATTTTAAAGCTTTGCTCATTATTCTCTGCTGATAGGTTAAAGGCATTTTGCATTACAGTCACATATGTGCACATTTTTTAAGACAACCTAGTGCAGTAGTTGTGACTAGGTTTAGATCTGCATGTGAATCTTGGCTGTACTTCTTACTGTGACCTTGGACAAGTTATTTAATTCCTTTATTTCTCATTTTCTTTTGGTATAAAACAGAGGTAACAATAACACCTAGCTCCAGGTTGTAAGGAATACTAAATGGCTAATGTGATCACTTAGCTTGGTGATGTACACAGAGTAGCCCTCTAGGCTGCGATTACTATAATTAGTACTAAAAGAACAAATGAAATACTGGGTCTTCTTTCCTATCAGCAAAAAGGAAAAACTCAATTAAAACTCTATGCTTTAGCTAAATACTCTTGGTGATTATACCTGGCATAAACCATGCCAAGACAATGAAAAATCTTCCCTTGTCCATTACATTATAAATAGACTTGTTATTCATTTCTCACTTAATCGGTAAAATAAGCTATTATGCAAATTTCTTTTCTTCTTATTACTTACATCTTTGACTACATATTTCTCAAGATTTTCAACTGTTTTTTCCTTAAGAGAACCCTAGAAGAAGAAGAAAAAAAAAGGAACTAAGAACAAAATCAGTTTATAACACTTAGTTTGTAAGAAAAATTATGTTTACTATCAACATGAATGCATTTCTTAAGTATTTACCAAAATGGAAAGGTAAATAAATTAGGAAAGGCCAGGCAAAAGTGACAGGTATGATCTGCTACAACACTGACTTAAAAATTTGTCTTCAAAACATATAATTATCTGTTTTAAGCTGGAAATTAAAGACACTTCCTATTTCATTCAGTATAGTTTATAATAAATATAACTTTAATATTAACTAGTTAATGTTATTAGTCAAAGGGGAAGTATTTGGAAGCCAAGTAGTAGTGTACTGGCAATACAAGTGGACCCTCATGAGAATGGTCCTCAGTTCATACCCCAGGATCTCCCTGAGAAAACAAGGTATATATGGTCCCTGATCTGGGCTGGCTGTGACTGGGAGTGAACTGAGATTTGGAGTGAACCCACTGGGGCTGCCCATCTATCTCTCCATCTGTCTGACTCTCTCATGGAATAAATAAGTAAACTTAAAAAAAAAAAAAATGGGGGTGAGGTACTTCGACAAAAAAACAAATAGGCCATTATCATCCACAAAACTAATACAATTAAGTTTCTTCTATGTTTGGAAAATGCAAAATAAAATAATATCTGAAGGGGGCTGGATGGTGGTACAGCAGTAAAATGCAACCTTCTGTGAGGTACATTCACAGGGGAAGGTTCCAGGTTCATGTGCAGAGACCTCCCTGAACACAGCGTGCACATGCCCATGATTCAGGGCTGGCTGCTGGTGGCTTGTAGCAACAAGACCCTGATGGGAGTGCTGTTCCATCTCTCTCTCATTTATAAATAAACAAACTTAAAAATAATCTAGAAGCAAAACCTCACCAATGAGGAAAGGCTGGCATTACCTTTGAGAGCAGGATGGCCAGAAGAGAACAAATGTACTTCAGGAAGCTATCACTCGGGCAAATCTTTTTTTTTTTTTTAAAGACGGGAAAATTCTGCTTCACTTGCACTTGGAAAGGTAATGTCAGACCATAAAAACAGATGTCAAGAATGAGCAGATTCTAGTACCTTGTAATGAACCCAGTCAACAGCATCTCTTACATCTTGGAACATACTCCGATAGGACATGAAGAGGTCCCCATCTTTAAATCCTGTTTCACAGCTATAGAAAGATGAAAAGAATGTGACAGGAAATCCAAAAGAGATGAAGTAAAATGAATATCAAAAAATGCCCAGGGGACCCAAAGGCTCCATATCACATGGGTAAAGGCTATGGCTAGTTAGGTAGTTATTTTCCTAAATAATTACTCCCTAGTGAAAATCTGTTTCTGACCACCAGAAATGGCTATAGCGTTTGATAAAATACAATAATTGTGAACAAATACAAAGTGATAGAAAAATATATTGAATGGAAACTAAGAGGCCAAAGTTCCAAAAAATATCAGGTTCTCTTATTCATCACTTTTTATTTAAAAACAGGTTCTCATTAAAGAAATATTTAAAACTTAAAATTGGTCATTTAGGTTCTTTCCACCCTGCCTTTTCTGCAATGGCCCCTAAGTATACCGGTACGGTCCATCTTCTATGGCTAGCCTTCCCCAAACTTAGCGTCTTGAAGCAGATAAGGGCTAAGAGGATAAGAAGCAAACTCAGGCATATGATTAAACTTCCAACAATGGCTATATAGCTGTAATTCTCCCTATGGAGAGGGCAACTTACTAAAGATTTACACAAAATTTTACTTCAGGAAAGATAAACAGTATTTATTCCTCAATCAGATCTTCCTGGGCCTGGGAATGAAACTAAATTACCATCCCTGAGTGGCTCCTAGGTAGCTGCTGTGAAATGAGTAGGGGGGTTTTAGTGTAATTCTGCTTGGACAGATAATCATCACACAAACCTCCCACTCAGTTGTCACAATTAGCACCTCTGCTGGCCGTCTTCATTCCCAGGAGAAGCCAATCAGAAGTGGTCCCTTCCAAACATGGCTGCAGCACACTGGCAAGGAGAGGGGCCGTGTGGGAGGTGAGAGCCTGCATGGAGCTGCTGGTGCTGTCCATCTCTCAGGCTGGCAATGTGGCATCTCTCACTAGCACTAAATTCACTTTAGAAAAGCAGAAAAGACCTACAATGGCCAGTTCTCTAAAACCCTGTATATTAATTTTTTTAAAAAAAAATCAATTGGAAAAAGAAAATTATAGTATATACATACCTGGTATATCTTGGACAATTAGTAAAAAAATTTACTAGACAGGCCAACAGGTAGGTCTCTGCAAAATGAAGAATAGATATTCATAAGCTATAAATAAAATAATACAAACTTACTTCATTACCTTCCTTGTGCAAAGACAATTTTTTTTTTTTTTTGGAGAGGTTTTTGCTATTGGGAACATGGAATTACCAGAAAGACA